AATTAATCTATAGCTGCACATGCATGGGACAAAAACCACAATATCGATTGGGACAATGTGTGTATTCTAAAAACAAACATGAACAAATGGAAAGAAAGACTCATAACAGAATCGATATTCATTTAAGTCACACCGGATACATGTAACAAGAGTGACTCAGTACAACTATCAACAACTTGGAATATAATTCCAAATACAAACACATGAATGAATGTGGAGTATAATTCTGAACACACATGTGCACACACAAAACATGTATGAACAAAAAAAATAATAATGAACTATATATATGAGTACAAATCGTAAATGTGTGAATAAAACAATTCCAACAGTGGTGTGAACACGGGCAGTAATTTTGCTCGAAATATTACCAATAACAAAACTTATCATTGTGTGTAAACTATTAAAACTAAAACTGTAGTTCTTGCATTGTTCAAATATTAAAATATAATTATACTTTATTTGATCTAATCCACAATGCTCAAACTTTTGACTGATATTAATAGTTTGATCGACTCTTGATTGAATGGGTGTTATTGTCATAACTGCTGCTTTTTTGTCTGGAATTATAAATAGAGGCAAAACGAACAACAGGTGTAGTCTCTGAGTTCATACATTAAATGGGCCTATGATTTCTGAAACTCTTACATGGGAATTAGCACTGGTATCAATTACAAACTCACTTAGTGTGTCATTAAGTGCCTTTTCAAAGGAGGCCAATGTGCTTGCTAGTCACGTTTTCTCAGGTAGTTTGTTCCATATTTGGGCGTACCTAATCAAGAAAAACTTTTGCCTTGTGGCTGTCTTACATGGTTCTATAGCCACTGTACCTTTAGTGTGTCTAAGGTTGTATCCTGTGTCACCTGAGGACCGAGTATAGTTAGCAGGGGTATACACTATTTGGTTAAGAAGCTTATAGAAGAGTACCAGATTTAGTCGCAGTCGCCTTAACCATAATGTTTCTAGTCCCAGGATTTCACATCTGGTAGAGTAGTTTGTGCCGTTATCGGTTCCGAGTAGTTTTCGCGTGAAGTACCTCTGTACTCCTTCTACTTTCAGTTTGTCTTCTATGCGTGTACTACTAAATATGAATGAGCAGTAATCTAGGAGTGGGCGCACACAAACCTTGTACAGTAGTATTCTGGATTCGTTTCTGTAGAAGTTCCTGAGTAGGAAACCAATAAGCCTTCGTGATTTCGACACTTGATTCGAGATATGCTCTGAGAATGATAGATTGTGTGAATATTTCAGTCCTAGGTCTAGTACAGATTTGAGTCTGGGGATTTTGTGGCCCTGGATTGCTAGGTCGAGTTCAAGGTTGGAACAGCCTATGCAGAGCCATCCACACTTTTCAACATTAAACTCAAGTCTCCACGTGTCACACCACCTATCCATTTTTGCTAATTCTTCGTGTATGGAGTTCATAGTTGGGCCGATATCTGTATTCGTGCAGGTATATGTCACCTTCAAGTCATCTGCATACAGTATTGGCTTGCCTATACTAAAACATTCACATATACTGTTTATGTATATAATGAAAAGAAGGGGTCCCAATACACTCCCCTGGATGACACCACTGCTGATTGGTCTAGGTCTGGAGGTCACTGAGCCAACTTTAGTTGTCTGATTCCTGTCATACAGAAATGATTTTATCCAATTGTAGAGGGGGTTTCGTATCCCTAGTGAGCGGAGCCTACCGACTAGCAGACTATGTGGAACTCTGTCGAAGGCTTTCCTTATATCGAAATAGAGGATAATTACTAGCTCTCTCCTATCTCTTCTATAGGTGACTTCGTTGAAAAAGTCTATATGGCAAGTGACGCAAGATCTTTTCTCGAGGAATCCGTGTTGTGACAGGTTGATGAGTTTATGTTTTAGAAAGTAGTCTGACATTTGGTCCTTGATTACTTTCTCCATGATCCTTGATATGACAGGTGTTATATTGATAGGCCTATAATTACTTGCACTAGTTTTGGACCCTCCTTTATGCTTGGGTAATATATATGTGTTTTTCCAAGTTTCAGGGTAGGTTTCAGTCACTAGTGAGATATTAAATATTTTAAGTAATAATACTATCATATCCGTACCACCGTTTTTGTATATGACGGATGGTATATCGTCTATCCCACAACTACTGTTAGCTTTTAATGTCCTTACCGCCGATGCTATATTTTGTATATTAAAGTTGATTTCACCAAACTTGTAGTTATTTTTGCAGGTTATGTCGAGAATTGGGGACGGATGTGCTATGGTGTTATTGGAGAACCACTCACTCAGGAGTTCACTAATGATCTGGGGATCATCATAAATTGTACCTTCGTGTTCTAAATGACTGATATTGTTTTCTTCACCCTTCTTCAGCCGTTTTTGCAAGATTTTGCAGAGTTCCTGGGTTTTAGAGGTGCCCTCTAGGGCTTTAATTCTCTCGACTTGTGCCTTCATTTTATGTCTCTCATCTAAATTTTTAAATGTTTCGTGTATCTGGTGTAATGCATTGAATTCTTTGTATAAATAAAATTTTCTTTTTAGTTTCCTTAGTTTTATTCGCGTTTTGCGGTCTATGAATAGAGTTGATGTCTTTAGGGCAGATATTAGGGGTGCGATTGTGTCTCTTACCGAACTGATTGTCTTGTAGAAGGTATTTAGTATTACTTTAAAGTTATTATTGGTGAAGTATTCACCCCAGTCTGAGCTTCACAAGAGCGTTGGTAGGAATTCCCAGTCGGCATTTCGATAGTGCCTATATTGATAGTAAACCGGGGAACTCTTAGATGTGTGTTTAGTTGTTAGTTGTAGGGGTAGGGTGCAGTACAGTATGTTGTGGTCACTGTTGTCGAGTTTATCCCTCACCTCTATCGAGATCGGCTCTATTTTGTGGCAGAGGATTAAGTCGAGAATATTGTTGTGTCGTGTTGGGAGGCGTACGCACTGCTTCCATCCTCCTACATCTATGGCTTCTAGGATCACCTCGTAGGTTCTCGGTCCAGTGCAGGTATCCCAGTTCACTCCAGGGAGGTTGAAATCGCCACAAACTAGTTTGTAGTCGAATTCCAGCTTAGGTACAACCTCTAGTATTTAATAATGTAATGTATTTCATACAAATTTAAAAAAAATTCACATGAAAATGCATGCCTCTTTTTACAGGCACGATCAAGTGAGATATAGTCTCAAATCTCAGATTGTCTACAAGTTAATCATATTTCAACTGTTAAATATTTGATACATATAATACACTCATTGTCTGAACTAGGCCGTATAGTTGTTGAATTGTACAATTGTCCTCCAGGTTGAGCGGGAAAATCGACTTCGTTTCGTTTTCATCCCGTGATTGTAGGCATACGATAACCAACCAATATTGAGGTAAGTACAACGTTTACAGTGGATTGAAAGCTGTTTTAGAAAAATTAAAGTGCTAAGGTGAATCATTAAATTGTAATGAAATAGGTAAGTGCAAGTATCATTAATAAATGCATTAATAAAGGAAACTCCCTAGGCTGACAACGTTCATTTGCAATTTATAATGCTACACGTATATCTCGTACTATCATGATATCCACTTTTGGTTTTAATACATTTGTCCTCAGTTGTGCCAGTTGTTTTTGTTTTATACCTTTTTGTGCATTATTGCACAACAGTACCCTTTAGAGAGTAGGAATATAATAAGTCATAAAGAGCTATAAAATGTTAGTTTTAATGGAGTAAAATGAGGATCAAGTAAAGACGTTATTAGAGAATAAATGAAATAAGACATTGTGAAGTGGTATTTAAAGATCTGACAATGGATAGCAAGTTAATTTATAAGTTGCCCCTTAAATCTGTGTAGATCCCACATGGTCGCATCTCAACAATAGGCTGGGCGAATGGTATATATTTACAGGTAGAAGCATGATCTGTCAAGGCGTTCATTATTATCTTTTTCAAGATAAAGATCTAAGCCCTCATAAAAATCAGAAATATCTCGAGCCTTTAATTTGTATATTGCTGTTCCTGCAGAATGGGGCGATTCACCTTAGTGACCACCACCATATCTACTGATCAGCTAGCACCACCCTCCCTCCATTTTTTGATGTTAGGCTCTGAGACTATGATTATTATGGTTACCGCAAATATACTGCTTGGTAACAGACATATTCATACCCCATATTCCATCTCCCTAGCTTTCTAAATGAGTGCTTCCAATAGGTCTCCGCGTACATCTTTATGAACATTATATATGTATGCATGCGTCCTAATGAACAGATTACTTTACAAAAAGTTAAAACCTTAAAGAATAAAAAGAATAGGTTTCGTGAATAGTGAAGCAAGATTCAGCAGAACAATATAGTTAGGGATCAATGTAGGTAGTGAGAACTGAAGGTAAGGTCGGTTGGCAGGACTTAGTGTACTAAATTATCATGACAGTCTTGCATATAGTAGACATCTGACATTGCAAAGTAACGTGTCTAAACATATTATAAAAGATATTAACAGAAATATTACATAGCTTTAACATTATGAATTTTAGAAAATTATATGAGAATGGGTAACTGTTGACTGGAGATAATCAATTCAACTCAAAAATAGTGCAGTGTATTATGCTAATAATATAAGTATATTCGTAAAATATTAAAAGATATGGTTGCTAATGTAATGGTTTTCGGAAATAATTATACTGACGAACTCATTGAAGATTACAGTGAAGAGGAAACCAGTGAGTTAGTTAAACGGCTACTGTGCAGTTAGTAGTTAAAACGTCTTTTTTAAAAAGTAAAGGGTAGAAGAGTTTTGAGCACCGGAGCAAATTAAGTCATATTCTACTGAGTAGAGTGTAGTGAGTAGTGGTACGATTAGGGATAAGGGTAGGTTGAATGAACTTGGGGAAAATGGTTGGTTGGTTGAGTTTGTTATTGCTAGGTATTCCTGGCCACTTTTCATATGGCATGCTTTAGACATTACAAAGTACCAGTTTGCTTATATTATGGGAGAACTATCACAACTAGTTTGGGATTATACATCCAGGGGAGTCTAATGAGTTTATAAACCCGATTGAAGAAATATCGATAGGATCTCTAGTAAGCTGAATAACCGAACCTTAGGTAAAGGCATGTGGGAGAGATTAGGTTGGTTTTATCACGTTATAGATGAGGTCCGGTTGCCGGGGCAAATGAGTTTCCTCAAATTGGGGGTATTGCACTGGGGTCTGTAGTACTAAAGCTAGTTGAGCGGCCCATATGGATAAAGTATGGATAAGTAGACCGAAGCTCTTTTGTTGACAGGAACTCGTTAAGTAGACGCTGGAATTCAGTAGGAGATCGGCAACTACGTACAGTAAGTGGAAGTTCGTTCCATAATGCACTGTACTGTATTTTAAAGAAACGTGATCGCAGTTTTGTCCGGAACCGGCTTATGGATAGAGTATTTTCATGATTCCTAAGAGTATATATGGGTAAATTATTGAAAGCTATTGGATTACTGCTTTTGATGTAGCCGTGTAAAAGGCGAAAGAGGAATGTAAGGTTGAGTTTCAGGCGCCTTAACCAAAGTGGCTGAAGTCCATACATTTTGCACCTATCAGCGTAAGTCAGTCCTTCATGTTTGTATAATAGGCGTCGAGTAAAACTTCGCTGAATATTTTCAATACGAACCCTGTCATACCCATGCATGAAACCGAAGACAATTGTGCAGTATTCAAGTACTGGACGAACCATGACTTTGTATAAAAGGACTTTAGCCTCATTTGTGTACATTTTTCGATGTAACAAGCCTGTGAGTCTTCGGCATTTAGAAACAAGTGCTTTTGCGTACTGACTGAATGTTAAGTTTTGTGAGTAGGTAACTCCCAGGTCTTTTATGGAACTGAGGGTTTGGAGAAAAGAGTTACCTAGGTGTAACCTGAAATTCGGATGGGAGTTATTGAAATATAGGACACCACATTTATCAGAATTGAATGGCAGTTGCCAGTCATTGCTCCAGTTATGTAACCTATCCAGATCATCTTGAATATGTGTGAATCCTTCGTTTAGTGTAGAATGGGGGAAGCTGTATACAATCTTTAAGTCGTCAGCAAAGAGGTATGGGGTACCATGCTTGATTACGCTGCAGATGTCGTTAATGTAGATTACGAAAAGCAGTGGACCTAGTACACTACCCTGAATCACTCCACTTCTTATAGGTCTGGGTGACGAGTAATTATTTGCAAATTTCACAACTTGGGAACGATCTTCCAAGAAAGAAATGAGCCAGGATAACAAGGGGTCTTGGAACCCGTACGACTTTAGCTTAAGGATTAGTCTCTTGTGTGGGACTTTATCAAAGGCTTTTTTGAAGTCAAAGAAGAGAGTTGCGACATACAAACCATGATCACGCTTAGCGGTAACATCATCAAAGTAGTCAAGTAGGCAGGTGGAGCATGATCGATTTTTCAAGAAGCCGTGTTGTGCTGGAGTAAACACTTTGTGAAGGTGGAGGTATGAAGCAATATCTTGCCCTATAACCTTTTCCATAACCCTGGAAACTACTGACGTGATATTAATCGGTCGGTAGTTTTCGATGTTAGAAGTTGGTCCTTGTTTGTGCCTAGGGGTTATAAACGACAGTTTCCAGCATTCTGGGTAACTGCCATTATTTAAGGACAGAATGAAAAACTTTAGTAGGATAATGGGTATATCCTCACCACCTCTTTTCAACAAGATAGATGGAATTCCATCGGGCCCAGCGTTATATGATGTCCGGAGGGATGCTATAGCGGAGGAAATCTTTTGTTGGGTGAATGTTATATTACCCAAAAAGTGATTTGGTATTGTCGGAACTTCAAGACTATCTACTGTTTCTTCGATAGTATAGTAGCTAGAAAAGTGGGAGCTGAATAACTCACATATCTCCTGCGGGTCTTCGTGTAGTTTTTCTCCATCTAGTAATAAGTTAGGGATACTTATTCTGTTGTTGTTGATTCGTGACTTAATTAGTTTAACTAATGCCTCTGTATTATCAGGTCGTGAGTGGAGGATGCGTTCTAGTTTGATGGACTCAGATAACTGATTAGATTTGTATGAATCATAAGTTTGCTTGAGTGTAATGAGTGATGAAAAGTCATTAAATCTGTAGAATTGCCTAGCATGCTTACGCAGTCGGTTTCGAATCTTTACGGGGATGAAGTCGGGCTGTTTAGGCCTCGTTTTCACAAGTCTTACTGGAGCGATGAAGTCATGTGCAAATCCTAGGTTCTCATAGAGTAATTTGTTTGTCTCTATAGCCGAGCTGCACGTAAAGTATGGCTCCCAGTCTAGGGTGCGTATGTATGGTTTCAGTTCATCCCACTGAGCATGTCTGTAACCCCTGAGTAATACTTTGTTGGCGTTTATTGTCGAACTCATGCTAGTGCAAATATTAAATGTACCGAATACTACTCTGTGGTCGCTGCCAGGAAACTCTTTACCTACTCGAAGGGTAGTGGGGATGATACCATTAGTGAAAACTAGATCTAAAATCTTAGATAGCCTGGTAGGATACTGTACGTGTTGTTGCCATTCTTTTGTTTCTATTATGTTGATAAATTCATTGTACCGTTTTGGTGAGGAAAGTGGTTGCCAGACTACATCGGGCATATTAAAGTCCCCACATATAATTTTAGCCGTGTGAGGTAGTGAAGTGGCGTAAGCGAACGTGCTAGCAAGCTTCATATTACCTTCAACGGTTGAGCACGGGGGGTGATAGATGCAACCTATAAGATAGGAACTGGAGTGAGACAGTCTTAGAATAGCCCACACTGAATCGTTATCTGTGATGAGCTCTGGGTAGAAGCACTGTGTGGCCTTAATATCAGACCTGATATACATAGCACATCCTCCTCCTCTACCATAGTTTCTGTCGCCTCTGAATACATAATAGTTATCAATAGAAATATCTTTATCGCAAATCTGAGGAGTGCACCATGTCTCAGTAATCATTATGAGAGACGGATTGCAAATTAGGGATAATGTCGTGAAGTCGAACATTTTGTTGAGTAAGGAGCGAGCATTGATAAGACAGAATGAGAGAGAGTTAGGGGTGACGGTGAAATCGCATATATCTTTAAAAATATTCTCTCCAAGGTTTATGGCGTCTAGAACAGATTGTTTGATGGGTGCTAACTCAGATGGTGGCCACTTACTAGCAGTGCTGGAAAAGTGCCCTACACCAGTATCAGCACAGAGAGATGTGCCATCGTTTGTTACCCCGGCGGGTGTGAGGTGTTCATAATACCGTGCCTCCAATGCATCGCCCTCCCATCCGGTGATAAGTGGCTTGACAGTATGTGTGCTATTTGCGTCAATATTGAGGCTGAAATTTCGTGTTGGCTGAGAAAATTTAGATTGGATGGGGGGGAGGTAGGTATTCCTTGTGGATAGTATGCTGGGGTAGAGTTACGTGTATCGCAGTTATGACTAATATTTTGTGTGTTTAAGTTATTTTCGTAAATATTAGTCCATTGACGGTCTTGGGTGGTCTGTATGCGATGGTTTTCGGGGATGTGGTGAGTCAAAAGGCCACCTTTAGGAAACATGCCTAGCGCACTTGTTCCTTGTTGTAGAGGTCCCTGGATCAAACTTTTGTCTATAGTAGCCATAGATTGGAAAGTTGTGTCGGGGTAGGTGTATGCCTGCCCGTCGGGCTTCGACTTATTTTTAGGGTGCCCAGACATATAGCGTCTGTTGTGTCTATCGGACGAAGACTTGTTTGATGTTGGATGAATCGGCGGGTTACCTCTCTTTTCATTGACGTTAGATTTATGGCGGTATGAGGGCTTATTCTGCTTCCCTGGTTTAGTGGTATGATTGGGGTCGCTTAAGTTAATGTTATCTGGTTCGCTGCTGAGAAACCTATCAGTGATGTGTTTGAGTACAGGTATTCTGGATGGCAGGGTTATTTTACTTCGTTTTGTATGCTCACTAATCTGAGTGCTGCTCGGGGAGGATATGCTTAATGCTACGATAACCGTATCAGTCGTTATAGGGCTGTTATGGGCTCTGTGTATACATCCCACAAGAATGTTATTTTCATTCGTGTGGATGCTTATCCACTTGGATTCTGGGAGTTTGTCGATAGTTAGGTTTGTAAAGGTATTGCAGTCAGTGGATTTAGAGGTATATATTAGACAGCCGCCTCCTCTTTTGTCCACTCTTTCATTCCTGTGGATGTTATAGTTATCAATTATCAGCTTTGTGTCAGGTATATCAGTAGTAAGCCATGTTTCAGTTACCAGAATCAGTGTAGGCCGCTCCATGTATACCAGTGTAAAGGGAAAGTGTAAAAAGGAAATTGACACTCACCTGCACGCTTGCATTAGAGCTAATCTGGAGGTTAGAGAGTTCTGCACCAGGATGAACCAAGCGTGCTCTACTGGAAGAAAAGCGTCAACTGTAGTAAATCAAGAGCAGTTGTGCTTCATTTTCTGTCCTTTGTATTCATAAGCAACTTCCCGAACAATTCGATCCCTTCACCGATCCTATGCGTTGATAACGTGACGCCGTGTAGGGCCAACAGAAACACTGAAGATCCCATTTATTCACAGGAAGATCTAACTGGCCTGGATAAGTGGGTCATGAAAATTTGGTTGGTTTTCAAAATTAGCGACTTGTGAATGAGATGATTTACTTTCAGTCCTCTCGACCTACCTTCTATTTGCCTGGTCATACCATTCGCCGTATCCGGTCTCAGCTTACAAAATGTCGATTTCTCTGAAATGCTTGCGAATCCAAGTTTAGTACCACCCAAAAGAACAAAAATTTGGTACGAAGCATACATACCTCCTAAAACAAACTGATATAGATGTGAAGATGTGAATTTTACTGGGATCCGCCATGACCATCAAATTGTTCCGAGGCTCCAGGAAGCGAGAACCAAGAGATCATAATATCCGTACAATTTCCTTGGAAAGATGTTGGATATCATAATATGTTCAAGGGTCTTTCACAGTGTTTTTATGTCTCAGGGGTCAAGTTAGTGCACTTATTGTGGGACGAACGGTTGCACATGGCACACTGAATGCTGTCGTCAACTGGGGACTCACACATTGGTCTTTCGCAGTGGTCTATCTCCGTAAAAATATTTTTCTAAATAAAATTTAACTATATGACTCAAACAACCTAAAGAACAAATATCGCACAACCAGTGGGTTAATTAAAATTTCGAAAATATGAGAAGCCAAAATGTGAAACAAACACACTTTCTTAAGGTGAACAAACCCGAAAATTATAAAAAAAACTAACTGCAACCACTTTTATCCAAGTTGTAGTTATTCTCTTGGCTTCTGCGCAGCACTGCACAGCAAAAAACCGAATTCAAACAAGAGTGTACAGGCACATCCGGATGACGAGTCTCAAATAAGACGGATTGCGCATAATGGATTTCACCAATTAGCTTCAAGTCACAGGATCATTCAACTGCAAACCATCAGTTGTCAATTCATGGTTGTTTGCTCAAAACCAACTTACCCAATTTTCGCGGAAGCATCAATCAACCAGTCATCGTCTCATCGGTCGCTGTTCAGAAAGAAGTCAGGAGACAACCATCAGAAGTAATATTGTGATTTATTATTGTAATATTTGTTCATAGACCTTAGTTGCGAAGTTGGCTATGTGTTGGTGTTAGAATAAATAATTCTCGAGTAGCCAAACTGGGTTCTGGTTTTTGCGTCCGTTCGTACTAAGCATTTCTGAGAAGCTTCGAGGAACAGCGTGAGGCCCAGCATAGCAAGAGCTGGGCATTAACGGTTTACGAGACGTGGCTGACATGTGTACTAGGAGCCGACACAAGAACCTGAGACAGCACTTCGATCCAATCAATCTACGGGAAAATCTAGATAGAATTATAATATGTGCATTGTTCAACCCTTTTTGAAAGTTTGCGCAGATGCGTGCTTGACGGGTCTGCATCAGAACCTGAAGGTGTTTCGTCACACAGGACCATCAACCACTGCTTGATCATCTACAATATCTCTTCCATCCACTATGAACCTGCCGGTATCCATGTGAAACGGTACTAAGAGTCTAATTCAAACTCACACATTGCCACTAACTGGAAAATGCTGTTGCGAGTGCCTGTTAGTGAAGCACGAATTTCAAAATGGTTCTAGCCTAAAATGCAACGGCACAACTTAAGAAACTTTCGTCGTATATAATTATCAGAAAGAGTATATCCGATAGGGTCCCGAATCTGGTTATTAACAGAGGCACGGTCGAAGAGAACCAGCGAAAGATATAGAAACTGTCAAACCGCCGCTACCATAAAGCATTCGCACAGGATTCGTAACTCACAATAGCAATCACTCCAGTCATATCATCAGAATACAGGATGAATAATGATAGTCTGATGTATTCATTTTTGTGTAGCAAAAAATAGGTTGCACAGTCATGGATAAGTATTATTTAAACTACATAAATTTGGTTTATGGTGAGTTTACATGGTCGGTGGTCTTTCCTACCTTAGTTCGTAGGAACATCAAGGTGATTTTATTCCAGTATCATTAGGAAGAAGTATGCAGAAGCATTCATGAAGGTAATACAGACATGACGACTTATCGTCGTTAATCGCTATCAAAACAATCCTCATTAGAAACCATGAGTTGAGAAATCTAAGTCTTAGGAATAGAGAAACGCGGGCAATTCGGTGGCCACATAACGCTGGAGAAATAGCTAAACTCTTCAAAAGTAGGTTGACAAACTCCAAATCAACATATCCAAAAATAATACACCTAGGCGGCATTACTCGCGAAAGTGCTGAGGATATATGCGAGGGGCTTAGCACGCACTTTGCCGAACTGTACACTCTAGAAAATGACCAGGATGTCGATTTCCCTAGTAAAACAGAAAAGTGTTTAAGCGATGTAGTCTTAAACGCCCAAGAAATCGATAAAGCTGTCACAACTCTTAAGCTTACTAATACTCCCGGCCCAGATGGAATGTCTTCCGTCCTGTTAAAAAGTGGTGGAAATGACATAAATCTACTTCTTCTCAAGATATTTTCAACTTCGATAAGGAGTGGAACATATCCAAATAGCTGGAAGAAATCTTACGTGGTACCCATTCACAAAACCGGACCTACAGCGCACATCGATAATTACCGCCCCATCAACATCACTTCCGTAGTTTCACGTGTGATGGAAAAGATTGTAAAGACGCAAATTGTTCAGTATTTGCTTTCGAATGACTTAATATCCCCTTTCCAATACGGTTTCCTAAATAGAAGACCGTGCATTACTTGCCAGTTAGATTATTTCGACCACATTACTGAATGTGTAGACAAAGATCGTTCGGCAGCAACATTATCTGTAGATGCTAGGAAAGCTTTTGGTAAGGTCCCGCATAACAGACTCATATTGAAAATCCTATCTTATGGAATAAGTGGAAGGCTACTTGAGTCGATAACTTCCTTTCTTGCAGGAAGAGAACAGCTAGTTAAAGTCAACCATCACTTATCCACATCCGAACCGATAACCAGCGGCGTGATACAAGGTGGTGTTCTTGGCCCTACCCTATTCATTGTATTCACAAATGATATTGCCTCTGTGATCAAGTATGGCAAGCCATACCTCTTTGCAGATGACCTCAAAGTTCTCTATGATTTTGACTATAATCATATGAATATTGCTAGTAAAATCCAACAAGACCTAAATAGTCTATATAATTGGAGCGAAAAGTGGCAGTTAACGTTCAATCCAGCTAAGTTTGGGATAACATACTTCAGACGTTGGAAACCTAGCATGTGTCTATACATGTACGGTGACCTTGTCTCAAACACGAACACAGTCATAGATCTCGGGGTAACATACTTAGATCTTACCTTTACTGAACATGCAAATAAGGTGGTATCTGATTGTAAACGTCTAACCGGCTTTGTGATACGCAACTTTTACACTCTAGAAGCCAGATTAGCCATATATATGATATGCATTCGCCCCAAACTTGAATACTGTACCCACTTATACAGTAGCTTTAAATCAGCAGACAGAAAAAAAGTTGAAAGTGTCCAAAGATTCCTCACGAAACGCATATTAAGCCATGATCAACAAATAGGATACATTGACAGATGTATTCGACTGGACTTAGAACCCTTATGGTTAAGGAGAGTGAAGTGCAATTTATTTCTCTCATTCAAAGTTATAAGAAAGTACTGTAACAGTAACTCATCCATAACGTGGGCTAATCCTAAATCGTATGGACTACGCAACCATAACTACCTTCTCAAGGTTAACACCCATAAACTCACCACTAGAGCTAACTTCTTCACCATTAAATATTGCAAACTCTGGAACCAACTACCTTCTGAGATTAGAACCTGTGAAAGGCCCTACAGTTTTAAAAGGAGCCTAGAAAACATATCAACATATCCACCCTAGCCCGCCTAAAAGATCTCAGGTGACTCTAAAAAATAGCGGCCCAAACCGAAACGACCTTCGAACAAAAAAGTGACCTTGAGCAAGAAATCAGCTGACTGTATCATTTTCGGATGTA